CACAAATCTAGACTTTCTCTATAAGACACTACCATAGATGGATCAGAGAATAATGGGAGTTTGGTTGACAGATTATGATCCTGATCCCGCATCCAGCCCAACCTAAGCATTTGAAAATGCACCACAAAAAAGTCATACCCAACTTTGACAACATTTTCACTTAAGCAAAAAATTATCCTTAAAACACAGAATTCTCATGAAAGACCTGTTCCCACAAAGGGGTGGATTTGGAGTGCTCTCCGTTTCAGTATGAATATTTTGTATAAATACATGAAGGAGCATAGTAAAAATAAAGTACACTAAACATCAATAATGACTAGTTAGCTAAAAAACATTTCTGGGCCAAAATCTGGTCTAATTTTAATGGGTGGTAACTCCCAATTCACCCCATTCCTGAGAGTAAACTCTCATGAGAAACACATTGCATGACGTAACAGGAAATTATTTCTGGACAACAGTGGGGGATATAACTAAGCCATTTCAGACATTTTAAACACAATGAATATATATGAAATTATATAAGAAATATCTGTGCATTAACATTTCCTTTTCTATTTTGTGGGGATTGAAACTCTTCTTCCATAGGCGGGCTTATAAATTTGCCAGGCTTTTGAGTTCTGACCAGTTTGCAGCATGTTATATTCAGGCTGTATGATCTCAACAGGAGAGCACAGAAAGGGAACAGACACAGAGGATCAGAAGCAGTCAGGGAACATTAACTGCATACATGCATAATTATTACTACAGTGACCTGATGGAAATTCTGCAAGGAATTCAGAACGTGTCTGTGTACAAGGAACATTAAGAATCAAGCCTTTCTTGATCTGTTTTGTGTTTGCAGACATATTTTATCAAGTAGATATGACAAATAATATAAATAAATACTAATTAATAACAATACCTTGCATTTTGATTGGACCTTTTAGCAGAGGATGTCTGGGGGTTTTGATAATGAAAAAGCACTATAATAATTTATAAAATCAAGCTGAATATCTCCACATTGTGGCCCAGAGAAAACAATATAAAAATCACAAAATGGAAGATGAGGGTACTCCCACTGCCATGGTCCACACTGTGGACTGTTTTGTGTGTTGATTTTGAACTATTATGAAACTATTGTGACAAATTAAGGAGGAAGAACACAATGCACTTTAATTGATATGAATCCTTTCCACACTATGCATAATGTATACAAATTAAATGTTGTGTGACAATTTAATATGACTGACAGGTCAGATTTGTGGACTGTAGATTATGGAGTTTCATGATATGCTGAAATTAATAAAACACAATCCACTGATCCATGGTTTTATAGCAGCCTGTCTCAGTCTAAGGTCAAACTAGAAAAGTTTTCTGACAAGTGCTGTAGGTCTGATTCCCTGCTTTTGCTGTCAATTAGATGTTTAACTAAATAAGTATGATATAAGCAAGAAGATACTCCAAAAGAAAAATGTAAAAACTACTAATTAAAAACAAAAGTTATGGTAACATAAGTGTCTTTAAGTTTTGCAATAATCCTTCCAGTACTTTTGCATCCCAAAAGACTCCAGATGTGACCAGCCACTGCAAAATGGTAAGTTGTTTATCAGCATTCTACACTGCAAACTGGCACCTGTAATTTCACTCTCACTTTGCATCAGCAGAATTAAGATACCTAGAAAAACCCTACCAAGACAAGTTTCTGTGTATTCATGTATAAACATTGATAGTAAAATGTCCAGTCTGTCGCCCTCAAGGTGAGGTACACAGCATCAGATATTCTTCCTTTTCTACTAGTCGTGTGTAGTGTGATAGAACTGCTTTTTCTGTAAGATCTTATGGGTAGCTGTCTCAAGCAAAAAGAGAAAATGAAAAGATACCAGCTACTTGATAGCACTGTTATTAAACAACTGATTGTTTTCTGCTCTTTCAAAGAATATCACCCCAATTTTTTTTTTCTGTAATGGCCACAGGCATATAAGCATGGGCTCTCCCTTGCTCACCAACTGTCTTTTTGAAAGTCTAGGTAACAACCATAATCCTCCAACTAATCCTGACCTAATCCTGCAATTTTTACTTGTGTGAGTAATCCTTACTCATGGTGTAGTCTCATTGAAATTATGGGATTGGGTCCTACATAAGTACAATTACTACTAAATGTTATTTTAAAAAGCCAAAAACCCTGCCTACTCATACCGAACACTTGTTACTCCTTGCTATTCTGACCTATTTACGTCTTCACTTTATCCTGGAACAGGGAGACTTTCGCTGGGTTGCTTGTTTTTAAAAACTGACACCAGCTTCTTCACTTTGTTTCACTGTTTTGAATATCACCAGTGATGAACTCTACAAAATAAGCCACGCTGTACTCAAATGCAAGAAGTTTGTGTCAATTAATATGATAAAAATACAGCTGGGTTATGTAAGATATTGTAAAATTATTTTGCTCTTTGACTCTGCACTCTCACCTACAATTAATAATAATTAAATATGAACATACATTAAAATAAACTCAAAGGCCAAACAGCTATAATTTAAGGTGGGCACAGAATTCTTAACTCCATCCTTTTGTGCATTAGTATTATAATACTGTACATATGGCCTGATCCTGAACTATTAAAGTCAGTGGGAGTTTTGCTAATGTGTTCAGTTGAAGCAGAATCTGTATCCCTGATCCAAGCATCACACAAATTTGGTGATACTACCCTGGGTTCCACTGTGCTCCATTAAGGATTTGTAATTTATTTGCTACAGTTTGCAATTTATTGGTATTGGGATGGGAATGGTTGAGTGAGTTCTAGGCTCAGCATGTAAAATAAGCTGCCCAAGGTCAGTCAAATCTTAAAAGCCTCTGTTTTTCTAATTTTTGTAAGAGGAGAATATATGGAAATTGCTCTTTTGGGCAAGTTCTGCCAACTATCTCTCCCCCTGATGGGTGCAATTTTGTAGGTAAGAGCAGAATGATTTCAGGTAATGTGGGTCTCTCATATGAATTACGCACACATCCTAGCTACAAATAGCATGAGGGCAGAATAAATATGTCCCTTATTGTACTTCACAGCTTAGATGGTATATACTGCAAATGGGCATTTAAACATAATAGGATTTGTATATTATGAATCTTTATTAAAACCTTCAGGCTACTGTTAATATATGGCCAGGGTTTGGGTTGGTTTTTTTTTTGGTCTAAATTTATTGAGGATAGTGAGAGTGATACATTGCAATTCCACACTAAGGACCTGATTCGAAAAACACTGAAGTTAATGGGAGTTTTTCCAGTGACTTCAATGGGCTTTGGATCAGACTCTAAATCCAGGATTTACACTTGCCAAATAAGAGCCCTCTTCTTGCAAACCCCTTCTCATACGCAACACACATGTATGCAGGACTGGGCCGTTAGTTTAAAAAAAGGAACCTGGTTTTGGATGATAGGAGCTCAAAAAAATTACCCAGAGCCAGTAAACACCTATTCTTCCCCATCCCCTCATTCCTATAACTTAAATAAAACCAAACAGATTTAAAACGATGGCTTGATTCTGTCATCAGAAAGATATGCGAGTGAGAATTGCTGTGTATCTTGTAAAAACAGCACCACACTTGCACATGCATGTGTAGAACTATTACTGATTTTACAAGATACATGGGAATGTGTGCCTGCTTATCTAAGCAGAGAAGTGAGCTCAACATTTACCAAAAAATAAATAAAAAAATCCACCCTCTGGCTGAGACCTTGCCTGCCAAGTTTTAGTTGTGTATTCTTTTTTTTCTTTTTTTGAGGCATATACTCTCAGCTTTTGCACTCAGAGGTGAATATACCCTTTTGTTTACAGTGAAGATTTAGGACCAAATTCCACTCTCATTTACATCACTGAAATGCTAATGAGGCAATAAATCATGGTAAGAATATAGTCAAGGTCAACTGGATTGATGGGTCAAAATGAAAGCAGAATTTGGCCCAATAGCTGAAAGTATAAACTAAAGACTGACTAAAGTGGAACACAAGATCAGAACATAAACCGTGCATTTGATGAAGTTCAGATCCTGATGTGAATTTGAACTTCATGATTGTGGCCTGTATCCACAATGGCCAGAAAAGAAACACCAAATCCAAACCGTCCTGAGCTTTGATTCCAAACTCCTCAGTTCTGGCCTATCTATAAAGCTCTGAAAACAGAAAATGAAAATGTTGACTGACTTTTAAACCAAAAGGGCCAACTAAAACAATTTTAACTTGTCTGAAAATCTTTGATGAGTGGCGTGAAATTCAAAGTTCAGTTAAAAGGAACTTCAATATGATGGCGATAAACATTTTTTACACTCGGAAGTGTGACATTTTCATGTAAACTATTAATAAAACAAATTGGTTTTTCTGAAATGCACAAATAAAAATATGTGATTTTGTAAGGATATGGATGTGAAAATATTTCAAATTTTACACAACTGGAACCAATCAAGCAGTACTTGTGCATTGACTTCATTCTGAGTTTGGGTGTTTAAAGGCTGCAGATCTGGGTCTAGCATTTGAAATAGCACATTTTTTTAACTTAGCTAAAATGTAATGTGAATTCGCTTTTTGTTCCTTAGAATTATTCCTTGAGAAAGAAAGATTGCAGTTGGTATCATGTTGTATGTAACGAGGTAATGCTTAGCATGTTGTTTTCTAGGTATTGCATCTTTCAGTTTCTAGGAGTATGCTTTCTGCAGAGGCAGCTGCCATTTTGAGAGCTGAGGATGATGCAGCATATGTTACAAAAGAGATACACTGCTCTCCATTTCTCTTTCACAGACACTTTACTTTTGTCTTTCTTGATTAGTTGTTTTCCTTTACTAAAAATAAAGGCAATTCAGACTGGAAGAACGTAGTTTCTCAGTAAAAGAGAACAGACAGCTAAAAAGCTGATAAAAGCCTCTAGGACCCTAGCCTCTTATTTGCTTGCTTGGGTCATTGGCTGAAATGGGAATCTTAAGTGAGCGGAGACTGCAGAATCAGGTCCTCACCTGTTTAGCTGTAAACAACTTACCTTTTTATTGCTATTCTATGGAATTCTTGCCTAAATATTAAAGGAAATAAAATATCAGTCACTAAAACAGTAGTTGTTTTTATTGGAAAATATTAAAACAAATAGTAATGTTATCATATATAAACTTTAATATCAACCTCCAAGAGGAAAATGATTTCTGATAATGAGTGGAAACATAACATGAGGAACATTTTGTCTTATAAATAATATTAATACTGAGATGATGCAAGTAGTGAGATTGCCTAATTTAATTTTGCTGACAGAACACATAATGAGAATCTATGGAATATACAGTATAAACCCATTGTCTTGTAAGCAAAGCTAACGTCTCCAAACTGCACAGCAGCAAGTCCATGATTTAATTGTGAAGCTCTTCCCTCATAGGCAGCATTAATTCCATAAACCACGGATGTTAATTATGTTTATATTATAGAGACACAAACTTAATTGTTATCTCTTTTTTTAAAAAGGTGAACACAGACACTTTAAAAAAACAAAATATCTATTTAAATTTTCAAAGCCATAAGAGGGAATATACCTGTAGATTAAAGAATTACAAATAAATAGATTTTAAAACCAAAATGTTTGGGAATAATCTCCTTCAGATATGTGATAAGACACAAGTTCAAAGTTCTCTGTTTTCTTTGAATTTGAACATTTTACAGTTTCTAATGTCCTTGTAACCTTCTATTGACCCAACAAAATCGCAACATACAGCAACATTTGAAACAGGTGGATTTTAACACTAGTTTATGTGAGAAGCAGAATCCAAGGGGAACAATAATAAATTTAAGAAAGTAAAGTTTGCTGCAAATACTTAATATTCAGAATTCTCAAGCTTGTTCGTTAGTTTCTGACTGGACAAAAATGCCATTTATATATTTGTGCTCCCCAGTGCTTAAAGTGAACTGAAAAAAGTGTGTGTGGGGAGGAAGGGGGGTCGACCTGGGAGCAGCAGCTTTGGTAAGATAGTGCTTAAAGTATGCCTCTTAGCAAACCAGCTTAATTTTTCTCTCCGCCCCCCACCCTTTCTTTCTTGGGTTGTTTGGGGTTTTTTGTTTGTATGTTTGAGGGGGGAGGGAGAGGACTGGGGGTGATGGTGGTTGTTTTGGCTTGCTCTACACTTTAAGCACTGGTGCTCCCTCATTGAATGATAATATAGTAAAACGTAGAATTAGACATCCAGTGCAAATACTCATATTTGAGTTCAAAATGGACTTTCCACAAATATTCACCAATATTTGCTTAAAACGTACTGTTTCTATAAACATTCCTGTCAGTAAACTTATTAGTTAAAATATTTACAGAAAGCAAAAAAAAAGGGGGCACACACATAGCCAAATCAAATTCAACTTTCTGTCCTAGTAAATACTTGTGGAAACATTTTAAGTATGTTCCCAGCTCTGCTAAGTAATGTGAGTTTCACGGTATGAGACTCAGTGATATACCAACAAATATATATTAGAAACTTGCAAAAGTTTGTTTCATCCCCATTGTTTAACGTATGGCCCTAGGCCTTATTTACTGCACACTATTCAAACCCTGCTTTGAAGACAGAATTATTCATTTCTGTAGGTGCTTTTCTATACTCTCATCCCTGTAGTATGAGTGCTTCAAACATAAATTAATTAATTTTCACAACTCCCCTGTGAAGTGAGGGAGTGGTATTACCCTCATAGTGCAGATAGTGAACTGAGGCACAGAGAGATTAAGGTCAAAACTATCCACAAAATGTGGGTGCCCTTGAGGTGCCAACTTTATATGTTCAAATCACAGCTCCCATTGACTTCAGTCATACTCAAGTTGGGCAACTTGAAAAAGATGAACACACAATTAGTGCCCACCTGTGAAAAATTCAGTTTAAGCAACTTGACTATAATCACTATAATCACATAGGAACTCTGGGGCAGAGCATGGGACTATCCATGCTATGTCCCCCCCATCATGTGCTTCAGGACGCAAGGGCAGCCTTTCCTCCTGTTTCTCTTGCTTTCCTTAAGCAGGTCCTTCAAGAGGGTGCTCCCCACCTGCCTTTCACCTCACGTCCTTCTGAACTTGTCATCAGACCCCTGACTCATGAGCCTCCCTGGCCACCCCAACATGCAACCTATACAATCTGAACACCATGCAGCTGGTCCACCTCCAAACCATGCCCAGAAAACATCTGTATGAACTCGTGCTTCACACCATCCACCTCCTCCCAAGTGGTGGGACCTGTTGCCACCTGAAGAGGGCAAGGAATGTGATAACTCAAGGTGAAATTTGACTAAGATAACAGGACTAATACTCCTCTTGTGAAAAGTGCCATGGAACATTTACATAATTACAAGTGGTCAGGAGCTTGGTTATAAACCTCATCTGATAGAGGACGCCTCTAGCAGCACAGTGCCTTCTAGTGCCATGCTAAGGTACTGACTGAGAAGGCAAACTACCATTTACCAAATCAACAGCACCATCTCCTGCAATTCATATATTTTCATTGGAAGTCTGACCAGGTCCAACTACTTACTATGAAATCTGCTATC